ACTTTTCGGTATGGTATTGATTCACTCTTCCTTGCTCTTGTTTCAGCTTATCGGAAGCTGGCTAGGAATTACCATCCGGATGTGAACAAGTAAGTGAAAAAATACATCTTATGAAGATTGGTGTTGTATATCTTGAAAACGAGAGGATAAGAACATTGGCACTCAAGTAGGATCGAAGAACCGTAATCTCTGTTAGCCAAACTTGAGCAATGCCAAAAACACGATACCTTAGATTATGTTGTTTCCCAGATTAAGATAACCAGCAACCTTCAGAACTCACAGGCATTAGATAAACACAGACCAGAAATGTGAAATGCTCAGAAACCGCTTGTTTTCCTTCATGACTGATACTTCTAATTTATAAAATTGTCACCTTCTTGTTTAAAATTTTATTTCCTGCTTACAGGGAGCCTGGTGCAGAAGAGAAATTCAAAGAAATAAGTAATGCATATGAGGTGAAAATGAAACCCAACTTCTCCTTTGTTTCTATTACGCAAGTTCAAACTTCCAGGGATGTTTATTCAGCCTATTAAGTTTTATGTTGAATAACAAACAAATTTTCCTTCTCCAGGTCTTATCAGATGATGAAAAGAAGTCTCTTTACGATAGGTATGGAGAGGCCGGACTTAAAGGCGCAGGAATGGGAGGCATGGGGGTACGTTATTCAAAATAAACATTGGAGATTTGTTCTTTAAAGACCCTCGAAGCCAACCTTTTGATCACTTATTGGTTTGGAGTTTTCATTTTTTTTGTAGGATTTCAGTAATCCATTCGATCTATTCGAGTCACTATTTGAAGGTATGGGTGGGATGGGTAGAGGTTCAAGAAGCAGAGCCGTGGATGGTCAAGATGAGTATTATACACTAATCTTAAACTTCAAAGAAGCGGTTTTCGGGATGGAGAAAGAGATAGAGATATCCCGGCTCGAGAGCTGTGGGACTTGCGAAGGTTCAGGTGCTAAACCGGGAACCAAAGCAACCAAATGTACCACGTGCGGTGGTCAAGGTCAAGTGGTTTCATCAGCAAGAACTCCTCTAGGTGTGTTCCAACAAGTCATGACTTGCTCTTCCTGTAACGGTACTGGAGAGATCTCGACGCCTTGTGGTACTTGTTCTGGAGATGGACGCGTGAGGAAGACGAAACGGATAAGTCTAAAAGTACCAGCCGGTGTTGATTCTGGTAGCCGGTTAAGAGTGAGAGGAGAAGGCAATGCTGGGAAGAAAGGCGGGTCACCGGGTGATCTATTTGTTGTTATAGAGGTTATACCGGACCCGGTTTTGAAACGAGACGATACAAATATTCTCTACACTTGCAAGATATCGTATATCGACGCGATTTTAGGGACGACATTGAAAGTACCGACAGTGGATGGGATGGTGGATTTGAAAGTACCAGCGGGGACACAACCGAGCACGACACTGGTAATGGCGAAAAAGGGAGTTCCGGTATTGAACAAGAGTAATATGAGAGGGGATCAGTTGGTGAGAGTGCAAGTGGAGATACCTAAGAGATTGAGCAAAGAGGAGAAGAAGCTTATTGAGGAGCTTGCTGATATGAGCAAGAACAAGACTGCTAGTAGCACCAGGTGATTAGAAAGAAGAAAGTTTTGACATCGGAAATGTGATTCTAATATATAATTTTTATATACGCATTGTTCTACTCTATTAGCTTGTGATAATTGGAATGGCTCTAGAAATGAGGAAGCTTTAAAGAAGTGGGGAGAGAGAGATTCAAAGGAGGAAGATGATTATTGTTGTTGTAATGACGTGAACTTTTAGAATTTTTTTTTTTTTTGTGGTTCAAATTTTTAATCTTATGTAACAAATCTGTTAGGGTTGGTTCTTCATGTTAGATTTGGTGTTTATTGGTTTAGGTAAATTGTTGGATTTTGGTTCATAAGCTCCGAG